AGTAATTAATCTGTCATGGTGATTTTACAGTTGCTATGGTAACACAACGACTATAGTAATTGATCTGTTGTGGTGATTCTACAGTTGCTATGGTAACACAACAACTACAGTAATTTGTTGTGGGATTCTATTGTTGTTATGGTAACACAACTATAGTAATCAATCTATTGTAGTGATTCTACAGTTGCTATGGTAACACAAGAAGTATAAATAAAGTAGAAAACTGCAATATTGAGTCATTTAAGTTATACTACAGTACACCATCATTTACTGTAGTAAAAACTAAAGTATACTACAGTATTTATAAGTATATTGGTGTGTTTATTAACAGAATTGTAAATACTACATTATTTACAGTATGATAGACTTTATAGTCTAGAACAAAAGAGCTGTATTTACTATAACCTAGTGATTTTGTATTGTGGGTATTACCTGCTTTATAAGATTTATTTGTTTAAAATGAGCACATTTTCCATTATTAACAGCTACTTATGCGCCGTTATCAATTATTTGAATAGGACTGGAGCTTCTGTCAGTCTGAGTGTAATATTTAGAGCTGATCAGGTCAACATACAGTCCAGCTGATCAATATCTGCTCAGTCCAGAAGTTTCTGTTTGGTTTGAGACTGGGATGCAGTTAATCATTACACATAACCTCAATCAGGGTTTATTTACTGTCCTCCTGAACTCTCCCAGAGCTGCTGGAATACGGCTGCTGTTTATGTGTGTGTGTTTATAGATATGAAAACAGAGTTCACTAACACTGAGAAATACTGCTGCTTTATTTTCTGTGTATCATTGTGTAAGTTCCTGCTTTGCACAGGAAATATTCACAGTGACTTGCACGATTACTGTACAATGACAATAAATGCATGCATGCATAAATATATACAGTTGAAGTGTGAATTATTAGCACTATATATATAGAGAGAGAGAGAGAGAGAGAGACCATTTACTGTCAGCACACACTGAAGGATCTGCACACTGTAAATAATATGTAGTTTTAAGAGTATACTCATCAAGAAAAAAATAAATAATAAAACAGCACTGACATTTAACATAAAACACACCGCAGTTGAACAGTTTTGAGATTTCTCTTTTACTTTATTCACCACGGACTCATGAATGTATGAGTCAAAATTATTAGACAAAAATGTAAATATGATGTTTTGTAAATGTCTATCAAAAACATCAAATATCAAAACTTTATTATTTATTATTGATTATTTAATGTATTACTCTGCAAAGAAATGATCATTTTTGCATTGTCAGAATATCTACAAATCTCTAGAAACATTTTAGATATAAATTATTGTCTTGTTTTCAGAAAAATACATTTAAAAAAAAGCATTTTTTCATAAAAGGAAAATTTGATTCATGAAAAAAAAATTCAGTTTTTTTTTTTTTTTTTTTTACATATGTAGAAAATGCTTCTTGATTTAAGAATTGTAAAACAAGGACATTCACATATACAGCTGAAGTCAGAGTTATTAACCTCCTTGTTTATTTTTCCCCAATTTCTGTTTAACAGAGAGCAGAATTTTTCAACACATTTCTATTCATAAATGTTTAATACTTCATCTCTAATAACTGATTTATTTTCTCTTTGTTATGATGACAGTAAATAATATTAGACTAGATATTCTTCAAGACACTTCTATACAGCTTAAAGTGACATGTAAAGGCTTCACTAGGGTAATTAGGGTAACTAGGAAGGTTAGGGTGATTAGGCAAGTTATTGTATAATGATGGTTTGTTCTGGAGACTATCGAAAAAAAGATTATCTTAGGGGTGAATAATATTGACCTTAAAATGCTGTTTAAAAAATTTAAAACTGCTTTTATTCTAGCCGAAATAAAACAAATCAGACTTTCTCCAGAAGAACAAATATTATCAGACATACTGTGAACATTTCCTGAATCTGTTCAACATCAATTGGGAAATATTTAAAAAAGAAAACAATATTCAGAGGGGGGCAAATATTTCTGGCTTCAACTGTGTGTATATATATATATATAAACTGGAGTGTAAGAGCTTATTTTGTTCAACTTTAAAGATGATGTTTGATCTCTCAGATTCCAGATTGTTAATAGTATCACAGCTAAACATTGTCTTAATAAACCAAAAATGTATGGAAATATGTGACACAGGTAATGCCAAGAATTCATTCATCCTCCTTTAGCTTAGTCCCTTTATTTGTCAGGGGTCTCCACAATGGAATGAACCGCCTATTCCATCATATGTTTTATACAGCGTATGCCCTTCCAGCTGCAACCCAACTCTGGAAAACACACTCATACACTATGGCCAGTTTAGTTGATCAGTTCCCCTATAGCGCATGTGTTTGGAATGTGGGAGAAACCGGAGCACCCGGAGGAAACCCACACCAACACGGGGAGAACATGCAAACTCCACACAGAAACATCAACTGACCCAGCAACCTTCTTGCTGAGGCCAGTGTTGACCACGGCGCCACCATGTTACCCCAAATATGAATCAAGATGCATTTTTCATCTATATAAATCAAGCAGCAGAAGTAAAAAAAGGAGTTTTATTTTTATTAAAACTGTAGTCAAAACTGAGTATTGCTTTAATTCAATTCTATTCACCTTTATTTCTATAGCACTTTTACAATGTAGACTGTGTCAAAGCAGCTGAACATAGAAGATTAGAGTAAATGGAAACAGTGTAGTTCAGTTCTCAGAGTTGAAGTTCAGTTCAGGCTTTTAGGCTGGATCGTCAGGCTCGCTCCTCAATCTGGCAACCTGTGCTTGCGTTTGTTTTGAGCCAGTGTGCAATACCTAGTTCCACCACTGGGTGTTAAACTGACATACGGCACATTTAAAGCAAGCAAAATAATCTGCCAATGGGGTAAAAGCAAAATAAACTTGTTTAAAAGATAAAAGTGTCGATTTTACTCCAAAAATAAATAATAAATTACTTTTTTTTTTAAATAAAACATTTGTTTTCCTGCCTGGAAAATGCTTCTTGATTTAACAACTTTTAGATATTTGCACTAAAACAAGACACTATCAAAGCGTATGTTAAGAACTTAATTTATGCAACTTTAAAGGTGTTTCTCCTCATTATTTGGATTTTTTTAAATGCTGAGATTTAATATTTTAAAATAGTTACCTCCTATAAAACCTATAAGTCTATAAAACCCATATTGACTGACTTTGTGGTTTTCTGTCACATACATTAAATGTGTGACACTAATAATCCTTAAAACAAATTCAGCATTTCATCACAACAATACATTTCAGTTGATGCACATGCAGAAAGAGAACAGCATTTACAGTTTTTCCCCATTGTTTCCACACATTTTCTGAAAGCAGGTCTCATATTGTCAGAACTCTGCACACAAATCACAAAACACACACACACACACACATTGGGCAAAAGTCTTCAATTCTTCTGCAAAATGAAACTCTACATTCAAAACAGTGTGATTTCTTCTCCCCATTGTCTTTTGTTTTCAAATGACACACACAAGCATCACATCAATTATGACTTTCTGTAAGCCTTTTTTTGTTCAGTGTTACACTTTACTACTGACAGTAGCCCTACAGAAGTGCATTGTTAAATATTTCACAAAACAAACAAATACCAAATATATTTTACTGTATTTTCCTCACAAAAGCTGGCAACTAGCTCTCTGTACCTCTCACATGGTCGCCCGCTGAAGCTAAGCGTGGCTGAGTCTGGTCAGTATCTGGATGGGTGACCACATGTGAAAGCTAGGTTGCTGCCGGAAGTGGTGTTAGTGAGGCCAGCAGGGGGCGCCCAACCTGTGGTCTGTGTGGGTCCTAATGCCCCAGTATAGTGACGGGGACGCTATACTGCTCTGTGAGCGCCGTCTTTCGGATGAGACATTAAACCAAGGTCCCGACTCTCTGTGGTCGTTAAAAATCCCAGGATGTCCTTCGAAAATTTGGTCCTTGGCCAAATCTGCCCACTGGCCTCTGTCCATCATGGCCTCCTAACCATCCCCATATTCTAATTGGCTTCATCACTGTCTCCTCTCCACCGATCAGCTGGTGTGTGGTGGATGAGGAGATTCCCCATTGTGTGTAAAGCGCTTTGAGTGCCCAGAAAAGTGCTATATAAGTGTACGGAATTATTATTATTATTATTAGTGTACACAGTGTTCATCCCAACCAACACAAAGTTGCAAATAACATGGTCTACATACGCCATCAACAGAAGGATTTACTGAATACAGTCACAGTAAAATAAAATAAAAGACAGCTATACTGCATCCTCTTTTCTGTTTTGGTCTGGCCACGCAGCGGGGGAAATGTCACCTTGCATGGCGAATCCAGCCACGAAAGGCATCAAGTGCTATAGCTTGGAGAAGGGGTACACGTGTGTGTGGATTTCGGTCATACACTTTCCATCTCCAGGCAGAAAAAAAATCAATAGGTTTGAGGAATATGGAGGGAGATAAACAACTAAAAAACATGGGTGTGCAGTAAACTAGTTATGATCCAGATGAGCTCTGATTTCTACATTGAAATTCTGTGAATGGTGTTCACTTATGTGATGAGTTAGTATGCAAAGTAGGACAACTGACTTTACAATAGTGACAGACAGTGTGTTCCTTGTGAAAACAAGAGATTTTCTGCATGAAATGTGTGCAAAATGCAGAGGATTGTGTGTCGTGTTTTGAAAAAAGTGTGTTTTAAACCTGCAGTTTGAGTGTAAAGCAGGAATTGTGCTTGTAGTTTAGCAGAATTGGTTCAGGGGTTGGTGCATCAGTCACATGTTGTAGTCATTGTGTCTGAAGTACAAATAATTCTGTGTAAACAATTGTAAAAGACTGTAAAATGATTTTACATTGACTGTATTGTGCTGAGATGAGCTCATCAGATGTCCAGAAGAGACTGAAGTGTAAATAAACAGATGATCGCTGACCTTTCCTGGCAGAAGCGTCCGTCAGTGTTTTCTCTTTTTCCCTCCGCCTCTGCAGTTTTTCTCCTCCTCCTCCTCCTCCTCCTCCTCCTCCTGCTTCAGTCTCTCTCTTCTGTTGACGGAGTTTCAGCATTTTGCTGTGTGTGTTGATCTGATCAGACGTCATGAGGATCCTCTGTGCTTTTATCTTCATATGTGTTCTCCAGAGCGCCGTGAGTTTATGTCTTACTATCTAATCACTTAATATACATATATATATATATATATATATATATATATATATATATATATTTTTTTTTATATATATATATATATATATATATATAT